ATTGAGGGCTTTAAAAGCAAATAAAATAATTTAAAAATGAATCCCAAAAGAAATGGACAGCCAGTCAAGTGAAGCTAAAATATGGGTGGCAGTTAAAAGAGGAGCTGTGGCATTTTGCACCCTCTGTAGATGAGTAACGTATGATCCACTGATCTCTATATAAAGTGCATTACAGTAAAGCTGAGTGCAAACAAAAGTACTCATCATGAGTACTACATAAAGTTCTGATTTTTTTACCTCCTGTATTCTTATATGACCACACCATTTTAAGTTCCTGCTATATTCCACAATATACCTGCCTCTGTCTCCTCCTCTCTGCATGTGAGCTAAGTTCTTCTCGTCTTCTTTCAGATTATCTTTCTCAAGTATTCAGCATTCCAGCTTTCTTATCCCTCTTGTTGTCTGGCCCTGTTTTGTCTCCGAGTGTCTTGTTGAACTTATTTCCTGTGTACCAAACCTTAATTTACGGCAGGGAATATCATCTATTTGGGGAGTGCATCTCAGTTGTTTGTAGCAAAATCTACATGAAGCACGATGACCCTACGCACAGTGAACGCAGACTCTTTGAGAGTAACAAAGGTATTTTTCTAGTTGCAGAATGGAAACATGCACGCCGGAGGTTTACCACAAAAAAAGAAAAAAAAAGAAAAAGTCCCCAGTATCCATGTTAGCTTTGACTCTGACCACCTTTAACCACTTCTTCACGACTCTTATTTCCTCTTTTCACTCTCGTCTGTATAGAAAAATAGGCCAACATAAAGAACAGAGGCTGATTTAAGCCTTTACAGACGTACTGAACAAAAAACTAAACTTGAAAAATAAAAACTATTTCAGCTCAAACTTGATAATTCTGGTGTTCTCCTACCTAAAACAATAAAGCATCTTCATATGAAATAAAAAGGTTGGGTTGAGTAATAAAAGAAACTACTTCCAGATACATTCATTCTGTGTTTTATTTTTTATTGAACACACTCGCTGGATGGATGCAGTTTCAGTATTTTGCTCCATCACAGTTTACCATGTTTAGTGACAGGGCTGGATGCAATGAGAGATTTTTCACCTGCATTCTTCATCTGGCATTAACATTCAACCTGCGTCAGTGATTTTGTTATTTAACTGAACTGAACTCAAGAGGTCCAGGTTGGTTTTATGAATCGAAATGCATTTTATTTTTCGATTGTATTGTGTACTTGGAATTTTCATTTATCATAATTTGCTTTGAAACCATCATAGAAATATGACAATTTTAATTTTAAATGAATTACTATCCTATAATATTAGCCATATACATTTATTTCCATTTCACTTTGTCTTTTTCTTATTTGTTGCGGCCCAAGAAAGAAGAAGAACACAAAATAATCACATTCATGCATTCATTATGAAGATAAAAAGGTTTTACTCACCTGTAGAGAAACACAGCTAGTGTGATGAAACACAGAAGGAATCCAATTGCAGGTGGGAGTATGTATAGAAAATACTTTGATGAAGTGGATTCTGTATCAAATCAGCAGAGAATTAATTTAAAATGCTTGGTTGACCTTTGCTAGAATTGACTGGATCTGCTTTTTGTCTACCTACCTTTGGGGTTCTCAGACACAGTTAAACTCCATGTAATGCTGTTTAGGCCACGTTTGTCTGTTAACTTACATGTATAAAGTCCTTCATCTTCAGGTTGAGCACTAAAAATAATGAGCTTTGTAGGAAACTCATGGTTTATTTTCAGTCTATTAAAGGGCAGCACGGTGGCACGGTGGTTAGCACTGTTGCCGCACAGCAAGAAGGTCCTGAATTCAATTCCAACATCAGGCCGGGGTCTTTCTGTGTGGAGTTTGCATGTTCTCCCCGTGTTTGCGTGGGTTCTCTCCGGGTACTCCGGCTTCCTCCC